TATACAAATAATGTGGTGTTCATGTGTAGGTATAAATGTACATTAATATACAAATAATGTGGTGTTCATGTGTAGGTATAAATGTACATTAACATACAAATAATGTGGTGTTCATGTGTAAGTATAAATGTACATTAACATACAAATAATGTGGTGTTCATGTGTAAGTATAAAATGTACATTAACATACAGGTAATGTGGTGTTCATATGTAGGTATAAATGTACATTAACATACAAATAATGTGGTGTTCATAAATGTACATTAACATACAAATAATGTGGTGTTCATATGTAGGTATAAATGTACATTAACATACAAATAATGTGGTGTTCATGTGTAGGTATAAATGTACATTAACATACAAATAATGTGGTGTTCATATGTAGTTATAAATGTACATTAACATACAAATAATGTGGTGTTCATATGTAGGTATAAATGTACATTAACATACAAATAATGTATTATAAACAAACACGGCTCTCTTGGTGAACTTATAAGGTGTATAAAACTAATATTACATAACATATGTATACATCTTTATTTAATCTTTGATTACATGATGTGGATTCGAAAAATTTTTATCGTTTTTTCTGGAAAGACTCAGAGATAGAAAAGTGTCAGAAAACATTTGATACTAATATAGCTAATAACTAATGCCTGATGTTAAATCAGACATAGAGAATATAAGTACTACTTTTAGCATATCTGGATAGATTTATTATCAGTATATTAAACTATGAAACAAGGATAATAACGTTTATTGATTCAAGATGTGATTGCTCTTTAATTAAGTTTCTCAGCTTATTTATAATTAAATGGTATTTATCTTTTCTCGTATACTCTCAGTATGTCTTTCTCAGCGTGATTAACTGTTGTTAAAATGTCATCACAAAAATTATTATTGTTCAAAGATGGTGCTGTTTCATAGTTTCTCCTCACACAGAGGTGATTGAAAGAGGGATGACAGATCCACAGGGTTCATATCTTTAGTTTCAGGTAGGTATTTGTAGAGATAAATACCAAGAAACACTGTGAAGGTGGCAAAGATTAGGAAAACGTACTGGTCTAACAGTTGCTGAAAAGTAAAAACAAATTGGATTTTAATTCACCGTGACAACAGACATGCGGTAAGAATAAGAGTTTTAGTTAATTGTAACCTGCTATTTAACCAAATATGGAAAACATTAAATTTGGTAGAATTGAAAATTCTTTGAAAATAATTAATTTTTTAACTTCTTGACTATTGACTATGTAATTACAAAAATTTAAAACTTTCTTAAAGTCACTAAAAGAAAGAGTTCTTCAAGATAAGTTTCTATATCATAAATACTATCTTGTATCTTCTTTCGGTTTCACAGAATTTCAGTTCATCTTTTACAAGAGAAATTTCTGTTTTTTAATTCAACTTCATTACATGTTTGTTTGTTTGGGAAGTGTTTAATTGAAGATTTTTAGGTACAATGTTACAATTAAAATATTTCTTCAAAAAATATGCGATAATTTTTAAGCCAAGAAAAGTCAAGTTTTAGGTTTTCCAATTGTCAAATGCTTAGATTAATTTCCCCCCCCCATAAAAGTTGTATATATATATTCTTTGAGGCTCATAACATGGGTAGAAAATTACTAAATACTGGAAAATCTCCACACTTTTATTTCATATTTTGGAAGCTTTCAGCTTTAGTGCAATAGCAGTTGTCAGGCTACAAGTTTAATTTATAATACAAATACTAACACTGAAAAGCAAGTCACAAGATTTGAAGTTAACAAATCTCTACAAAAACATCACACCTTTTGAAAGAAAGGGTAAAAATATTCTGAATTTCCCAGCAGAAACTTTAGTGTAGTTATAAGCAAGTCAAATTATAGTGAAAAGGTCTGTGAAATTTAGAAAATCAGATATTAAAATCTGTTGCGTCAGCGAGGTCACGTGACTAGTGTCACGCCACGTTTCTAGAACCATCCTGTTCCTCACTTAATAAAACTGGTTTATTCTACCTGAATATAACTTTACGATACACTTGATTTCAACATTTGCACTAAAACAAACACTATAACGAACTTCAACAATACTCTCTGACTGCAAATCAATTACTAACTACCTACACACGTTCTCACGTCACGCCGTGACCATCTTATATATACCAGACCACCCCAATCTAGCAAATGCTAGAGCACTCCCAAAGGACTTGTGTCGCTAACTTTTCGACGGAACGAAGTTACGGAAAGTTAATTAACAAATGGAGACGTAACAAATCATTTAAAACACTGGAAAATGATATTCAGCAGTAACTGAAGAAGTTATATGACACAGGCGATTTACACGAGTAGAATTATGAAAGGTTAAACCCTACAAACAAAAACCCACAAATTTGATGTTCACTTTCTACTATCATAACCTTCAATGATTCTCAACTTTCTAATTAGCATAAATATGATCAATTTTAATCTGGAACATTTTACATTTTGTTAAAGAATCCTTTCATTTCAAAAATCTTCAAAACATTGTTAAAAGTAGTCGATTAAACAAATCTTCTTGTAACTTTTGATTTAATCGCTTTTTTTTTACAAAAGTTCCAGCCACAGATACTTGAACAACTGTAAGGAGTCGACTACAAAAAATGAAACATTACTTTCTCTCGACTCACTATTCACCATGTTCTTAAAAGAAATTTACTTATCATAGAACTCAAACTCTTTCAATATGATTGATGGGATTTCCATGGGTCCTCCAACAACATTTGTTATTTACCGACCTCACAAGCTCTACAAAAGTTAATTGTGACTCTGACAGTTTGGCTTCGTTCATTGATGATATGTTTGCATCACACTCAAGAAGATATAAAACAAATTTGCAATAAATAATCACTAGATCACTAGAGAAGTGGAGTTACTTGTAACTAAAGCAGATCAACATAAAAAAACAAAAAACGTTTACAATAAATAATCATCTGTTCAGATCACTAGAGAAGTGGAGTTACTTGTAACTAAAGCAGATCAAGATAAAAAAACGTTTACAATAAATAATCATCTGTTCAGATCACTAGAGAAGTGGAGTTACTTGTAACTAAAGCAGATCAAGATAAAAAAAGTTTACAGTACACAATCATCTATTCAGATCACTAGAGAAGTGGAGTTACTTGTAACTAAAGCAGATCAAGACAAAAAAAAGTTTACAGTACGCAATCATCTGTTCAGATCACTAGAGAAGTGGAGTTACTTGTAACTAAAGCAGATCAAATTGTTACATCCAAACCACCCTTTAACAACAAAATCAGGCATTTTAAAATCTTTGGAAAATGGAGAAACAACTAACATCTACAAATCTGGAACAAGAATTTATAGTCCAACCAATACAACAG